GTTTTTGGGGTTTAGGGTTTTTGGGGTTTAGGGGTTTTTGGGGTTTAGGGGTTTTTGGGGTTTAGGGGTTTAGGGGTTTAGGGGGTTTAGGGGGTTTAGGGTTTTAGGGGTTTAGGGGTTTTTGGGGTTTAGGGGTTTTGGGGTTTAGGGGGTTTAGGTTTTGGGGGTTTGGGGGTTTAGGGGTTTAGGGGGTGTAGGGGTTTACGGTTTGGGGGTTCGGGGGTTTGGGGGTTTGGGGTTTAGGGGGTAGGGGGTTTAGGGGGTTTAGGGTTCAGGGATTTGGGGGTTTAGGGGTTCAGGTCCTTAAAATTGCTGCAAGGGGTTCCTTTAGGGGGTTCCATAAGGGCACTGTGGTGTTGAGGGTTTTGGGTATGAGGGTTTGGCTTCAGGGGTTCAGTGTCTGCGGAGGATTTTACGCAGGAGTTTGTACAGTGTTCTCTGGTGGTTCTTGATCTAAACCCTAAACCCTAAACCCTAAACCCTAAACCCTAAACCCTAAGCCCTAAACCCTAAACCCTAAACCCTAAACCCTAAACCCTAAACCCTGTGTATCTGATGTCCGGGGCAGACCGGGATTCCTTGAAGATTTTGGGTTTCTTTGGCCCTCTGCCACGGGTTTAGTAGAGGGCAAGCATCAAACCCTCATCCCCAAACCCTGGTCCCAAGATCCGACTCCGAAACCACGAATTCCTAAACCCTAAACACCCTTTTAGGGTTTGGGTTTAGGGTTTAGGGTTTAGGGTTTAGGGTTTAGGGTTTAGGGAAACCCTATGATATGGTTCTGTGTTTCTGTATGAGATTGCCAGCACATTTCTTTGGGAAACCTGTGAGGTCGAAGGTCTTCTTACTTCTTCCCCTGAATCCCCCGAGACAGAAGCCCAGTAGCCTAGGCAGACGGTGAATTTCTGGTGTGGGTTAGGGTTTAGGATGATTTAGGGTTACCAGCTGGGGCGTAAGGTTGCCCCTAAACCCTAAACCCTAAAACCCTAAACCCTAAACCCTTAACGGGCTTGGGGTTCAGGCGCTTCAAGTTTCCGTTGCAAAGAAGCCCCCGGATTCCAAGACATACTCTCGACTTACTAGAGCTGGTTTTGACTATACTATACGGTTTCGGGCTGAGGGTTTGGTATTCATCAATTCGAAGAGTCTTCTCATCGCGTTTCCGGGATAGTTTATATAGTACATCATAGGTTGTAGCTTGCGATGGCAAACAACAGACTGTAGCAGTAGCATGCTACCGTACATGATAGTGTGATATAGTCGGTTATAAGGTATTTTTTGTTTGCATAGTACCATAGTCTACTATAGTATCTTACAGTATGTTATAGTACGTTATAATGCAGTATCGTATGTTAGAACATATTAAATCCATGCCACACACAACAAGCCCTGAGCCCAACACGTATCACACTTGTCCCTCAGGCCCGTCTTCCTGAATTCAGGAGCCAACCGCATCTTGGGTTGCTTCGCCTGCATTGTTTCTTTTGTGGGGAATGGGGTCTTGTTCTGAATGTCTTACGGTTGAGGGTTGCAGGGTTTAGGGTTTCAGTGCTTATATCTTTTTTGTTTGTCTAGGGTTCCTTGCGGGAGATTAGTCCCAGACTAATTTGCCAGAGCAGTGACTCCGTCAGCCCGTTCTTCGTCCTCATAGTCGTCATGGTAGAACTAAGACCGCAGGAGTAGCGGCAGTCGGTAGCATCAACGATGACACCAGCAACGCAGAGACATAGAACCTTTCTACTACTCGCAGTGCATCAATGATGACTGTGACGCAGTGGGAATTGAAAAGCCACAAAGACGAAGATGAGTGCCGACGACAATGAAGACAACAGATGCTAGCATTCACAGCAGTCTTGATATTCAGAACATATTTATTCCACGAAACGCAATCACGATGACGAGGGCAGTGCTAGGCTGTGTTGATTTTTGGAACAACCGGGGTCTTCAACAGCAGGCACCGGAGATTAGTAGTACTGATGGCTCTAACAGAACAAAAAGGTCCTTAAATCAAGACCTGCTTTTCGCAAAAGCTTGGCAGTGGCTAGCGCCTGGTACTAGTGGCACATGTGGCGACGGCAACCTTACTGAAGATGGCACTTTTGCTGTTGCCACTGGAAGGTAATTGAACGAGCTCACCTTTTGTGTGTCGATCGTGTTCGTGACAAGATGATGGTGACTATGCGCAAGATATACACTTAGTCTCCCAAAGATGCATCGCCCTTGTGCTCCCAGCAATATACAGCGCCTCGTTCATAAAGTCTACAGCCATATTCGCGTGCACCAAAAGTTTTCATTGGAACATTCATTGAACCCCAGACTGCTGGTACCATGGTACAAATCATTACTGGGTTCTTGTTAAGGGATGTAATTTAATTTACCATAATAGGGATCTATAGTAAATAATATGGTTTCCTTTTTATGGTAACTTAAAATCCCTTAACAAGAACCCAGATTATCATCCTGATCCTCATCGCAGTTGAGCTCCTGTTCATCTTCATTCCCATCCCCCCGCTTATTGTCATCTTGATCTTCACCATCCCAAAATGTCCAAGGCCTCGTAATTCGCACATAAACCTTAAGATGCAGAGGGATCCTTGTTCTGATGTATGGTGCATTGCTCAATGAAGGGGCTAGTCTGTTGTTTCTTGTGGGCATTGTCATCGAAGCCAGCATCCAAATGTCCTGCCGTGCTCATAGTCACGTTCGTCATGGGGATGCTTCCTGGGCGTCGTCATCAGACAGGGCCTCCATGGCTAGAATGCGGTTTTGGGGTATTGGCGTGCGATTTTGTAGAGACTAAGTTAAGGGGACATGAATCGCATGAATACTAACTGCCCAGCCCTGAATCTTGGATTCGGACCCAGGATCCCTGAAACTCCCCCAAAAGCCGCCAAGGCCCTCAATGCGAATCCGAAAAACACCCCAAATCCAACCCTAAACTCTAAACCCTAAACCCTAAACCCAAACCCTAAACCCTAAACCCTAAACCCTAAACCCTAAACGCTAAACCCAAACGCTAAACCCTAAACCCTAAACCCTAAACCCTAAACGCCGAAATCCCCAACACCCACATCCCGACGCCCGCAACAGTGCCGAGGTCTGCGAGAGAAAGGGTTCGTTCCACCCCCGCCGCACGGAAAGCTCCTGCAGTACACCACGCCAGCGGTGGAGTGGAAGCGACTGAACTTTGGCTTTTTTGAGGCTTGGGGGTTTCGGGTTGAGGCTTTGGGGCTGGCATTTGAGGAGCGGGCGTCTTGTCAATAGTAGCAAGGAGTATGCGGCAATCCGAGTCCTGTCTTTTCCTGCGTTGGGTGAGCAGCCTGTCTGGTCCATAACCGTTAGCCCCAGCGACAAGCGTGACCCGCCCAAATGAAGACCCCGAAGCCCTCGACTGAGCCCAAACCCCGGAGGACCCCTCAACTTCGCCAGCCCAGAGCACACTTAAGCCTCAAGCCCTTGACTGTACCCTGAAAGCCCTCAACCCCTGACCCCCCATCCGCTTTACAAAGGGTTTTCGAATGTCGTAAGAGCTTCCTAAACCCCTAAACCCTAGACCCTAGACCCTAAACCCCTAAACCCTAAACCCCTAAACCCCTAAACCCCTAAAGATCAGCCAAGGCTCAAGGAGGCGATCGAGAAGGACCGATCCTTTGCAGCGACCGGACTTTGTGGAGTTGCAATGTTTTGTTTTGGGTTTTGGGGGTTTGGGGGTTGAGGGGTTTAGGGGTTTAGGGGTTTAGGGGTTTAGGGGTGTAGGGGTTTTGGGGGTTTAGGAGTTTAGGGTTTAGGGGTTTAGGGGCGTAAGGGTTTAGGGGTTTAGGGGTTTAGGGGTTTAGGGGTTTAAGGGGTTTGGGGGTTTGGGGGTTGGGGGTTTAGGGTTTAGGGTTACTTCAGGTACACCTTTCAGAGGTCCCCTACAAACCCCGAAACAGGGCTTTAGACTTTAGATGTGGGGTTTCAGAGTTCGGGCGACTCGTTCGGAATTTTTCGGTAACCTAGGAGTTTATCGAAGCTCTAAAGCCTCAACCCAAAAGCCTAAATCCCAAACCCCAAATCCGGAATCTCCAAAGCGTTTCGCTAGAGGGTTTAGGGTTTAGGATAAGTTGGTTTAGGGTTCAGGGTTTAGGGTTTAGGAGAAGAGGGTTTATGGTTTAGGGTTTAGGATAAGAGGGTTTAGGGTTTAGGATAAGAGGGCTTAGAGTTTCGGGCATGGAAACGTGGGGATTTGAATAACCACGAGGCTTGAATAACTAGGACGATTCTTAGGGTTCCTGACATGCAGCGAAACAACTGTGTTACAAAAGCACCGAAATCCTTGCTCTAGCCATTATGGCCCCTAGTTTACAAGCTAGACCTTGCGATGCCTGGCAAGGTGACCTACTCGCATCTTCCTGGCACTGCTGGGGACGAGGTTTGGCGTGCCACAGCCTATGCGAGGCGTGTGCTCTTGAAGGCAGGATTTTTTCGTTTTGAAAAACATTCTCTGTCATTTACCTAAGCCCTAAATCCTGTAGGGTGTTTGTCTTGGTCATGGTGTTGGGTTTACTCTGAAGGGTTAGAGCTAGAGGGGTTTGGTGTGTCGTCACGGACGGCTTATCTCTGCAAGCAACGCAGCCAGAAACCTCTTCAGCCTAGACTTTACATGTCCGGCACCAAAGTAAATCTCAAGGTAATCATTAAGGCCCCTATACAAATCCCTTATTGTCAGCCTTTCACACCTGAGCCCTAACCCCTAAACCCTAAACCTAAATGCCTAAAGCCTTCAACCGCTAAACCCTAAACCCTAAACCCTAAACCCTAAACCCTAAACCCTAAACCCCTAAACCTTAAACCCTAAACCCTAAACCCAAATGCCTAAAGCCCTCAACCCCGAAGCCCTAAGCCGAGGATCATAAGTCCCCGTTGGAAAACTCAGTAACTCCGATAAGCAAGTTAGCAAAACCTTTGGCGTTGTTCCGATGTAAGGGTTTCCGAAAATAGGGGACCCTAATATAGTACCCTAAATAATAGGATCCTTATTATAAGGACTCCAAAATGGGTTTCCGAAAATAGGGGACCCTAATATAGTACCCTAAATAATAGGATCCTTATTATAAGGACTCCAAAATAAGGTACCCCTAATTCCCTAATATAGTACCCTAAATAATAGGATCCTTATTATCAGGACTCCAAAATAAGGTACTCCTAAGTTTCGGAAACTCCAATGTAAGGGTAGGGTGTGGCCAGGTCGCCGAACAAAGCAATAGATGCAAACGGCATATCACCGAACCATTGGCGCAAAAGCCGTAACATGACTCCAGAGCCCGCTGACTAGACTTTCTCTAAGGGTCGCTCAAAGGGTTTCATTGGGGTTTAGGGGTTTAGGGGTTTAGGGGTTTAGGGGTTTAGGGTTTAGGGATTTAGGGGTTTAAGTTTAGGGGTTTAGCGTTTAGGCTGTTTTCGTTAGAGTTCCCGAAACCAGTCGTACGATAGCCCACCAGCCCAGTCTTATTATCAGTGCGAGGAACCCCTAGCAGGCAACTGAATACTCTACATTCTATACCCTGCATGGCGAGCACGACGGTGTCATTTTCAAGACATCAGCCGGTCAAGAATAGAAATTGCGGATCGATTGGTGTACTCCCACTTTGGAGTTGCTTTCAGGGGTACCGGGGTGCTCAGTACCAAAACTCGAGTATCCCTGGATCCCTAAACCCAGCCCTGAAGCCCTGAACCCTGAATCCTCGTGCTACGGGCTCGGCCATGTTTTCCATAGGTGGCTGATGGAGGGATTGCCGGGTGCGACGTCTCCTTTCCGAATGGCACCCGTGCGGATTGCAAGACGACAGACCTTCCCTACCATTTGGACGTGTCTCGGTCGAGACTTGTTGCCCCAAACCTCCTCCCTAAACCCAAAACTCTGAAAAGTCATAAACCCAAAGGCCTAATTTCTAAAGCCTAAAGCCTAGAACATAAACCTCTAAGCGCTGCAAACCCTAGGCCTCGGTCGGGACTTGTTACAGGGAAGAGCTGGAAGGATTCTGGAGGTGCGTGTGTGTGTGCGTGTGTGTGTGTGTGTCTGTGTGGTCTACTACTACTGCTACTGCTGCTGCTACTGCTACTGCTACCACTACCACTACCACTACCACTACCACTACCACCGTAGTAGTAGTAGTAGTAGTAGTAGTAGTAGTAGTAGTAGTAGTAGCAGCAGCAGCAGCAGCAGCAGCAGCAGCAGCAGCAGCAGAGGCAGCAGCAGTAGTAGTAGCAGCAGCAGCAGCAGGAGTAGTAGTAGTAGTAGTAGTCGTCGTCGTCGTCGTCGTCGTCGTCGTCGTCGTCGTCGTATCTTTACTACGACGACGGTACCAACACTACTACTGCTCTGCCACTGCCACCAGTGCCAGTACGACTACGACTACATGCCCGGTAATAAAGTTTCGTCACATCCGCTAGAAACACTAAACGGAGTACGCTGAATACGGGAAGTAAGGAATACCCTAGCCTGGCTAGCGGAGGAAATAACATCCCGTAATGAAATTAAAATACTATAGTTGTTCCGGGTGGAAGACAATATTATAATTGTTCCGGGCGGAGGACAATATAATAATTGTTCCGGGCGGAGGACTTCTGGAGGAGTCTAAGGGAGAAGGGGTCCTGGACAGGTCTGTTGTAGGTCAACAACATAGAGTGGACTATTCCTGCTCCCGCTCCTACTCCTACTCCAGCTCGTACTCCGCTACTGCTGCTGCTGCTGCTGCTGGTGCTGCTGCTGATGCTACTGCTATCACCACTACTCCTACTTTTTGGGTTTCCGGAGGTGATTGCATCTTGCTGGGAGTCTTTGAGAGCCTGTAGCAGGTCAGATATATAGCACTCCTGGCCTTTAGCTCTTCTCCCTCCAGTCTTTTCTGTCTGCTCTGCATCATGTTCTTTTTGCAGTCTTCCCATTACCTCGTGTCGTTTGTTCCACTCTCTGCATTCTTCTCTGCACACCTTACTGAGTATCAACGCGCTTTTTCATCGTGCTGCTGTTGTCCTTGGACCTGTTTCTGCTGCTGGTTCCTGCTGCCTCCGTTTGGGGGTCTGGGCCCCGTTTTCCATGAAAGTCCCATGTGTTCAAGGGTTGAGGGCCCTGGATGGAATCGTGGGCAGCTGAGGCTTCAAAATTTTTACCTGAGGTACTCTCAACCCCAAACCCTCAACCCTGAACTTTGAGCCCCAAACCGCCAACCGCATGCCCTCAACCCTAAACCCAAAGCCTCAAAGCCATGATCTACTGGGCTTTTGTAAGGGGTCGCAGGATCTTGGGCTTTCTGGTGTTCGGAGTTTGAGGGTATGGTGCCCTAAACCTACACCCTAAACCCTTAAACCCCCCAAAAAAGCCTAAACCCTAAGCCCTAAACCCTAAAGTAGCAGACCACAGAGGTTGCTTGGTGGATCTCCGGAGCCCTGAGTTTTGTTAGACAGAGCACGGGAGGTCTCTACTGGACTGGAGAATCGAGAACGGGACCCTAAACCCTAAACCCTAAACCCTAAACCCTAAACCCTAAAGGTGGACCCGAACCCCCAGCCTTCCCGAACTGCCCCCCGAACCCGCAGCCCAAAGGATACATAGCGAGTTGAATAAGGATTTCGTTTAGGGGATTTAGGGTTTGGGTTTTGGGTTTAGGGTTTAGGGTTTGGGGTTTAGGCGTTCAGTTGTAGAGCTAGGCCGAACCCTGCGACAATCCCTAGAGAGGGCGCCAAAACGCGCAAGACAGCGAGCATGGCCCTAGCAAAAAAGCGCAAAACCCTAAACCCTAAACCCTAAACCCTAAACCGAGTCGAAGAGGTCCCTTGGTGGATCCAGAAGATCGGCTTGTACCACGGCTATCCTATACTCCACGATGCCCAAGGAGAAGTTCGGAAATCATAAGCCCCAAACCGGGAGCCCCCAAACCCTAAACCCAAAAGCCTGAACCCTAAGCTTCTGCACCCTAAAAAGGAGAAGTTCGGAAATCATAAACCCTAAACCCTAAACCCTAAACCCTAAACCCTAAACCCTAAACCCTAAACCCTAACCCCAAGCGCCTGAACCCGAACCCTAAACTTCTGAACCCTAAGCCGACGCTCGAAGGAGAAGTGCGGAAGTCGATTCAATGCTTCGGGCCCTGAGCATCTCCTAGCAGCTTCCGGGAGTCGGCGGTTGAAGGGTTGCGGTTTCTAGGATTTTTTTCGTTTGGGGTTTAAGGGTTTGGGGTTTGAGGGTTTGGGATTTGGGGTTTAGGGGTTTAGGGGTTTAGGGTTTGGGGTTTAGGGTTTGGGGTTTAGGGTCTAGGTTGGTATAGGGTAGAGGCGTTTCATACCTGGGTTAGATGAATGGAGGGTCTATATTCCAGACCTGGCTCACACGAAGCTGTGCGATGGCTTTTTCGGAGTCTTGACAACACAGACTCCTTGTTTGTTCATGTCTCTTGACTAATCCCAAGACCGGAGCACTTGGCCGGTACTTGATCTCAACCGCATGGGTAGTTCTCTAAATTAGGGTCCCTTCTTCGGTCCCCACATTAGCACGGCGACACCTTCATAAGAAGGACCCTAAAAGGGACCCTAATTTGGACAAAGCTACCCCCCAAACAAATGGGCAGCAAAAGCGCTGAGTGCAGGCGAGTCCGGGCCTTAAGTGCATCTTCAGCCCAGGGCCACGCCTGGACCTGACCGCCGCTGCCAAAAAGCCGGGGTGCCTGTGTGTTTCTGAAGGGGTTCGGGTTTGGGGATTCTCGGAAACCCTAAACCCCAAACCTTAAGCCCTCAACCCTAAGCCCTATACCCTAAACCCTAAGCCCTAGGTCTCGGGTTGAAGGCTTTCCCAGGGGTTTTTCAAGTACTAGGTCTAAGGCCATTATGACCCCTATAGATCCCTTAAAGGAGGTTTTTATAGATCCCTCAAAGGAACTCCCTATGGATCCCTTAAAGGCAGGCGTTTTCACGATTTCGGGTTCGAAGCCTGCGGGGTCGAGGGTCAATGCTTTTAAGAGCTGAGGGAGGCAGCGAGAGGGAGAGAGACCGGCGTCCACAAACTCTGAACATGAGCCTGTCACCTTCAAGATGAATCATGCCTCTGCCCGCAGCTCTGAGGCCCATCCGGTTTTCGGAGTTAGGGTTTAGGGTTTGGGGCTTTGAGGAAGGAAGGTTAAAGATTTAAGGTTTTGGGTGTGGGGCATAGGGTTTAGAGGGTGTGTTCTAGAGCCTGCCCAAATACTTACTGTACCAATTTTACTGTTAGTGTTCCTTGCGCTAATTCTACTACGAAGGAGCCCAAAATCCGAGTCTAATTATTAAGGCCCCTACATTAGGTTTCATGAGCTGTGCTTACGGGCTCTGGCTCTGGCGGGTTCAGGGTTTAGGGTTCTCGGGCTTTTGTGTAGGCTTCGGGTTTGGGGTTTACGAGCTACGGGATGAGAGTCTTCTAGTGCCCGTGACGTTTGGGCTTGGTTTGGTGCTGTCTTTGCTGTTCTTCGGAGCTTGGGACACCATGGCTTCGAAAACAAAGACAGCCCCGACGGGTAGTCTTGTCTTATTGGGTTCCTCAACGTTTCTAGAGCAGCTATCGGGGTAAAGGGGTCGAACATTCAAGACTAGTAATACTATTCCTCAGTGCTACAGTGTTCCGCGTTACGTCGTGGTATACGATATCGACTATTCCCCAAAACCCTCTTCTAAGGATTACTGTCTCACGACATACACTGCTCCGTCCAGATCCACCTAGTTGCTCTTCGAGTTACTGGAAAACTCTAGCGCTTTTGTTTTGGGCTTGCGGTGTATGCGCCCCGCAAGGTAACATCACGTAGCATGGCTACACGCCCTGAATCCCGTAACCCCTCCGCCCTAAACCCCAGCCTCTGACGTCTTAAACCCTAAACCCGAAGCAGTAACTCCACAACCCTATACCCCTCAACATAAACTCCGAGCCTTAAGCCCCAACAACTCCCAAGCCTTAAGCCCCAAACCCTAACCCTAAACCCTAAACCCTAAACCCTGCAACTATTATGTCCCGAAGCCCATGAGGGTTAAGGGATTCGGGTCTTCAGGGCTTTGGGTTCGGGTCAGCTTCCGGACCTTAAAGCTTGTCCGCAGGCCTCAGATCTTCAACCCTAAAGCCCTAAACCCTAAACCCTCAACCCTAAGCCCTAAACCCTAAAGCCTAAACCCTAAACCCTAAACCCTAACCTTAAACCCTAAACCCTAACCCAAACCCCTAAGAAGCTCAGCTCGGAGAGTTCGAGCAACTATGGCCCGAAGACGCAAGGAATGGCAGGTTACGGCCCCCCGGAAGTATCGGGTCTAGTGCACTTAGACCAAGAGGTTATCGAAGCCTTAGCCTTTAGGGTTTAGGGTTTAGGGTTTAGGGTTACAACTCGAAACCCTACACTTCCTGAAGCCACCGAAGCCCCAAACAAGTGGTTATCTCAACGTCGCAATCGGAGCCTGAAGCTATGCTGGCATGCTGCCTCAACGGGTCCTCCGCTCTCGCTGGGCGCCGTGGTGGCCCGCACTTTCAGTTTCGATCCTCGCCAGTCTCATCCTTCTCTGCCATGTCGCTGGGACAATGGGAGCTCTAGGGGAAGATCTTAGACCTTCACAAAGGGGGGCTCAGGGATACTTGTAATACATACTCTACTATTTCCCACGGTCTGCGTGAGGGGTCCCCTGTTTTCTGAAACCACTGTATGAACCGCTGGGCTAGATACCCGACAACGAGTAAGATTAGTGTTGCTGATTCAAGCATCCCAATACCTTCTGACACAGGTCACGGCCCTGCTGAGCGGAAAGTGCGACCGCGAGCAAGATGGAAGGGTCGAGCGGGCGTACGTCACGGAGATCAGCCTAACGACCGAGACGCCCCCAGAGAGCTACATCTGGACCTTGGGGGTCATCCTCGTTTGGGTCCTCTTCCTGGGCCCCGGGGCCTGGCTTCTTCATGAGGTTCTCTGGGAGTACCCGCTGGGCTACGTCTTGGCTCTGCCAGTGCCTGGGTTTTTAGTTGAGGAGACGTAGACTATAAATTAACCCCAGTCCCGAATCCCTCAGCCCTCTTCCCTAATCCCAAAACCCTAAACCCTAAACCCTAAACTCTAAACCCTAAACCCTAAACCCTAAAACCCTAAACCCTAAACCCTAAAACCCTAAACCTAAATCGAGGAGTACACTGTTGCTACAGCTTCTTATCTTTGAGCAGAAGAGTCTCAGGTGCTTCTGGCGGAAGCCCTGCTCGTCCTGGGCACCCTCTGCCTAATGGGCCTGGTCAGGATCTTAGCTGTCTTAGCTAGACAAGTTCAGCTCCCAGCTTAAAAGGGGAACATCGGGTTTAGGGCTGAGGGTTTAGGGTTTAGGGTTTAGGGTTTTAGAGTTTAGGGTTTAGGTTTTGGGGTTTAGGGTATAGGAGCTTCAACGCTCCCACGATCGCAGCCTGAATAATTACAACTACCATCCCTGAAGGTGCCTCTTGTACTTATGGTGTAATATGGGTTATCCTGATGTTCAGGCTCCTAATTTCGGGGACTATGGGGTTTGGGGTTCGGGTTTAGGGGTTTCCCATGCAGATCCATGCAGAGGGAGAGATGGGCTTTAGCGTCGGGGTTTCGGATCTTTGTACTGTGCCTAGACAGCAAGGTCCAAAAAGGCACGCGCTTGTTATTTGTCCCTAGGCCATGAGACTTCAATATAGATAAACCAGGTCCAAGAGTACCACTATGCACCAATTTTGGTGTCCTTTGACTTGAATGGCTGGAAAGCTGGTACCGTTATTATGTAACAGCTGACCAACCGTGCCATGTAGAAGATCGGCACCTTCACTTTTCCCGCCCTACACTGAGTACCTTGCCCCAAGCTTTAAATCCTGAAGCCCGAAACCCCAAAGGCCAGAACGCTAAAACCCTAAGGCCTAAACCCTCAACCTCAAGAAAGCCCTAAACCCTAAACCCTAAACCCCTAAGCCCTATACCCCTAAACCCCTAAACCCCTAAACCCTAAACCCTAAACCCTAAACCCTAAACCCCTAAACCCCTAAACCCCTAAACCCCTAAACCCCTTAAACCCTAAGACCCCAACACCGAGCCCGGAGGCAACGATTACAAATCAGGGCACCTTCCTTGAGATGGAGAACCAGATCCCGAGCCTCGGGCTGATCCCAGGGTTTAGGGTTCAGCGTTTAGGGTTTAGGGCTTAGGGTTTAGGGTTCAGGGTTCAGGGTTTAGGGTTTAGAGTTCAGGACCTT